AAGAGGGTTGTTTCATGGACTTCGGCCTCCGGCGGAGGGTGGTGGGGGGGGGGTCGTATTTCCAAATTTTCCTCAACGCCTCGCTTGACCCTGGTCACGGGACAGTCACAACACAATTTCACCCCAAAGAAACCAAGGAATTTAATTTTCATGATGCAAATCACTTGCTGCCATTTCTGCGGAGACTTGCTCATATTTTTTCCCATCCTACTGAAATACAGTGGAGTTCTGAAGCTAAAGACTCACATTAGCAGCAGGACTCCTTCGTTTCTGGAAAGAGTTTGAGAAATTTCAATTTTGAGGTCCAAATCCTGCTTATTGTTCCCCTATTCATGCAGTTTCAACTCCCATGAAAATTTTTCGGAGATGTGAGCGGCAGGGGTGTGGTTTAGGAAGTGAAGGCGTGTTGATATTCCATACCCACATTCATCATAAGGGAATAACCCCAATTTGAAACTATATTTGTGTGTGTACAGAGTTAGGCTTAGGCAGACAAAGTTCCGAAAAAATGAGCTCAAATTATTTCTTTAAGAGGATTCGGAAACCAGCCCTAATCAAAAGCATAAAGGCACTTTGGGCAAGAGAAGTTTAGCAGAAAAATGCCACAGAATTGCAAATGAGAGAAAGAAGAAATTTTACTGTCCAAATCTTCTCGCCCAGGATGCCTTTACACTTTTGAAACAAGGAGCGTTTTTTAAAAGGTTCTTATAAGAACGCTTGTAGCTTGTATTGTTTTCTGATGTAAAGCGGACTATAATTTGAAGCATGCTGGAAGTCAATCAAGTAGGTTGCAAGCCACAACATATTTGTCCTTACTGGGAACGGCTCTCTTCATGGGTGCCTTTATACATTCGAACGCGCTGTGTAGGTGAAAAACCAAAACGAGTATGTTTGTGACCGCTACCGTATGTCCGAGCACACATTTGAAAATGAAGCTATTGTCCTTCGAGAATCACTTAAAAGAGGTTGGTAGCAGCATTCATGTGCTGGTATTTCGGCATATACCCTCCCCTTCAAAAAGCGAGAAAGTGTCGGGTGCAGACCATGCACCACAAGTGACGACGGCCTTCACAAAATGTTAATGTTTTCTGCCAATGAAATGATTAGCCTGTTGCAGTTGTATTCTATCGATTGTCACTAATTACAACTATCATTTACCAGAAATCAGCTATCACTATGAAAACTTCTAACCAGATTTACTTGGAGGCCGTCGTCAGTTGTGGTGTTTGGTCTGCACCCGACACTTTCTCGCTTTTTGAAGGGGAGGTTACTCATGCTGCTCATAGACCTAGGAATTATCTATCTAATGTCCATATAATGATATTCATTGAGAGTCAAACTCGATGGTTTCGCAGAACTTCGAATTAATATTCGCGTATCAGATGTGCAATCCACAAACCTTTGAGCTTCCACGGTTGAAACATGAATACAGAACAGTGAAAAATGCCACAAATCCAAATGCACATGCGCCTCCTATTCCAACCCGTACGGCTGAAAACATTTTGCGATCAAGTCGAGGAGTATTATACTGATTCGTGAAATCTTGAAGATAAAGATGCAATTTATTAATTCTCGTAGAATTGAAGCAACAACAGCAAATATTAGGTTGGAAAGAAAGTTCTGCAACACTCTTTTTGAAAATTTTCTTTTTTTCTGAAAAATTCATAGGTAACATTTATGACTACCAAATGGTAGAGCATTCTCAAGGCTTCAATCCACGAGGTGGATATAAGTGCTGCAGTCAGTAGTTATCCAAGAAAATTCAAAAACCTCGACCACTAGTCAATCCGTACTCCGAGTCGTTATTTAGTGCAATAATCGGGCGGAAGTGGTGTAGTGGCAAGTGGCACGCTTACCACGCGAGCGGTCCGGGGATCAAATCCTGGGTCGTGAGTCGCCCGGGCCAACCAAGCCTTCCATCCCTCCGGGGTCGGTTAATTGGTACCAGACTTGTCTGGGAGGATAAAAACACTGACTTGTACATCGGCTGGCCCCCGCAAGTCATTGTATAGGCCACATCGCATTCAAACGCCACTACGAATGTACAAATGGAAGTAGAATGCGTGCCGCATCCCAAAAAGGGATTGATCAACGGCAAATGCTTTATCCTTTTT